CACTGTGCTCTCGGGTCAAAATGGCGAGCAGGCCGGCCGTTTCAGCATCAGGTCAGTGGCTGGATGGTATTTGAAAAATAGTATTATAATGCTGCAGGAACTGGGGTTAATGCGAGATGATACGGTATATGAGAATGAAAATGTGAAGAAAGCCAGAAGAAGACTTACTGAGAACCTTCATAATGACAGGCTGTTTCTCATTAAGAGAGCCCTGGCCCTGACTGTGAGACAGCAGGTCTTGCCTAAGGAGCAAGAGAGAAAATCCAAGGAGAATCATTTCTACCTTGAGCTATTTCTGAAAGAGGGTGTTCGGGAAAGAAGAGAGAGAGGAGTGGGCAAAGAAGTAACTAGGTTGCAGTCGTGGATGCGGTTGTTCTTAAGGTATTTTTATGAAGTTGGCATCAAACCTGAAAAATTTAATTTAAAAATAATTTGGTCAAAAAATAAATAAATAAATACTGGTCTGGAGCCAATGCTCCGAGAATGGCCTTTAGTCTACTGAGATTGAGAGGTTTCTAAGGAGGCTGGATTTTCAACCCTGAAACCAACAAAGTTCCAGCCAAACCCTGAGTGTCCTTAACCCTAGCCATAATTACTATTGGCTTATAGTTTTGAACTTCAGATGTCAAGTTTTTGAAACAATAGGTCTGTGACTAAACAGTAAGTCCTCCGGGCTGGCTATGTTGTCGTTTGCAGTTTGGAAAGAAGAGTCCTTTTCTTGGCATCAGGGAGTTAGAAAATAGAAAGCCGGTGTGATTCTTGATACTCTCCTTATTTTTGCCACCTCTTCTTTCCTTTTCCGTTCTACATTTTTGTGTGATGGTTCTCTACCCTGGCTACACATTAGACTCACTTGGGGGGGGGCTCACTTCCAAAGAAAACCATGGATACCCAATCCCCTCCTCAGGTTAGTTAAATCAGAATCTTGGGGTGGGAGAGGCTATGTGGAGAGGGGGCTAGATGTCTAAATGGTTTAGAAGCTCCCCAGGTGATTCTGAGGTGCAGCCAGGATTGAAAGGCATAGCTCATGGGGCCAGCAGGTGGTATAGTGGTTAAGGTGCTGGAATCCCACATGGCCGATCACGGTTCAAGTCCCAGAGGCGTGAGACTCATGCCAGGCTCATGTGCGTGTGTGCCCCAAATCCCAACAGAAATGGGGGAGAAGGGATTGCGGTATGTCTATCCTCTTGGGGAGTGATTTCACACTTTTTCTCTGACAAGCATACATGCCGTATGGCAAAAATCTCTCTCTAAAAAAAAAAAAGAAAAGCACAGTTCACAGATTCTCTTCCACTTTCCAGCCACCTTTCTTTACTGTAAGAAACAGATCTTGAGCTCTTTCCTTTCCTTTCATTTGGTAGAGGATAGTAGTACTCTGGATTTTTTTCATTCTGCTGTCTTTTTGATTGTGGAGGACAAAATAAGCCTGAGACTAAGGGCACTTAGGGAGCAGCCTAAACTCTTCTATCTTGCTCACAGGAATCGATGTACTTTTCTGTATTAATACTAATAATAACCATGACTAGCATATGCTGAACACTTTACATGTCTAAACGTTCTTATGTATGTTGACTCGTTTACTCTTTTTTTTTTTTTGCTATAGAGTGTGTGTACTTGCCAGAAAGACAGAGAGAGACAGACAGAAAGTGGGAAAGCGAGAAATCACAACCCCCCACCCCAGGAGGTATGGCCTCGCCACAATCCATCCTCCTCCATTCTCCTCTTGGGATCTTGGGCATGCATGCATACACACCTAGTATGAGTTTAAGCCACCAGGTCTGGAACTCGAACCATGGCCAACTACATGGGAGTCCAGCAACATAGCCAGTACGCCAACTGCTGGTCCCTCATTTACTCTTAATAACAATAATGTTAGAGATAAAGCATTATTGTTCTTATTTTCCAGATGAAGACCCTGAGACTCTGATTCACCAACTTGTCCAAGGTCCCGTAGCCAGTAAGTGCTCAGGCAGGGATGAGGCTGCCTTTTTAAATCACATCCTCTGTGACTGTGCTACAGCGAGATGCGTCCTCCCTGCAAACGTGACAGAAAGGCCTCCCGGCTTGTGTGCACCTTCATAGGGAAGAGAGTTGGCCACATTTCTTTCTTCTTTTGTGTTGGTTAGTCCAGCATGCGGAGGATCTCTCTCATCAAATCACTTGAGCTATGCCAGCTCACTTATTTTTATTTTTAAAGTTTTTGCCGTAGGGCGCGTGTGTTCACCTGGGTGGAGAGGCTGGAGAATGTGAGAAATCACCTCCCGGGCCATGATGGCCATGCCACAGTCTCTTCTCCATTCTTTTCTGGAGAATTTTGGGCCTGCATGCGCACCTGCCCAGTGTGAGTTCCAAGCCGCTGGGTCTGCACAGTCATGTGAGACCCGGCACCTTAATCTACATGCCTCCTGCTGGCCCCACAAGCTTTTTAAAATGTACAAACTGTGAGCCAGTTCTGAAACAATAAGAAGGCTTTCTTAGCAATCCTTTTGTAGTGCCAAAAAGAAGTATCTAAGTAACATGGCTTTGCCAGTTTTGCTAAAAATATGCATTTATAGTCACTGCGAAATATATGTATGTATGTATATATGTGTGGTTGTGTGTGTGTAAATGCTGTTTAAGGCAGTGGGCTTTTTTTTAAACTTTTTTAAACTTTGTTTTAACTTTTTTTATTTTATTTTATTTTTTGGAGAGATTTTCGCTACAGGGGGCGTGCGCTCGCCAGACAGACAGAGACATAGAGACAGAAAGCGAGAAATCACCCCCCCAGGGGGGATGGTCACGCCGCAATCCCTTCTCCTCCATTCTCCTCTCGGGATCTTGAGCACGCATGCACACATGCCCGGCGTGAGTTTTAAGTTTCCGGGTCTGGGAAGCGAACTGCGGTCGACTACGTGGGAGTCCAGCGACATAGCCATTACTGCTGGTTCCCATGTTTTAACTTTTTTTTTAACTTTAAAAAATAAAAGTAAATTTTTTTCTTTCGTATTCCATTTCTCTATTACCAAGTAGTTGAATTTTCTTATACTTTCCCTTTCCTTTCTTTGTTCTTTGTGCTCACTCTCTCTCTCTCTGTCTATATATATGTATATACACACACACACACATATATATATACACACACACACATAGTTACATATTTTTGTGGTTTCCATTAAAGTATGATAGATGAAGGGTTTTTAATTATTGTTTTTCATAAACACCCATTAATTGGTAATTGGGAATTGGCAGTATTTCATCTACCTTCTATTGGCATTATAAGAACATATTTTAAAATATTCTGTGTTAAAAGAGACTTTACAGCCATAATCCAGTGTTTTAAATAGAAAAGAGTTCTTAGTGTCAATATGAGATAATTTTTAAAAGTAGGTCACCAATAATAGAGATTTTTTTGTTTTCATTTTTGTTTTTAAATAATTATTTAATTTTATTTATCTTCATCATTACTTTTTAATTGCTACAGAGCATGTGTGCTCACAAGAGAGAGAGAAAACAAGAAAGCAAGTTGTTCGGGACCAGCAGTTAGCATAATGGCTATGTCGCTGGACTCCCACGTAGTCAACCGCAGTTCGAGTCCCGGACCCGGTGGCTTAAAAAAAAAAAAAAGAAAGCAAGTTGCCACGCCCAGTACTTGGACTGTGGTCTGCCATGTGGGAGTCCAACGCCCCAACCACTATGCCACCTACTGGCCCTAGTAATAAAGTTTTAGATCTATTTTTATTTTTTTCAGTTTCATCTATACATACTTCAAAATGTTGAGTAACCTAAGTCAAAATATCTCAATAAAATATATGTTTATTTTTTGAAGTAGTATTAGGTATAGAAGTAGGCTTTGAACTATGGCTATAGATTATCAGATGATGTAAGTGAATATTTGTAGAATTTCTTACTTAGTTCTTGTTTCTTTCTTTCTTTCTTTCGAAGAGGTTTCTGCTATAGAGTGCGTGCGCTCACCAGAAAGACAGAGAGAGACAGAAAGCGAGAAATCACCCCCCAGGGGGATGGCCATGCTACAACTCCTTCTCCTCCATTCTCCTCTAGAGATCTTGGGCACGCAAACACATGAGCCTGGCGTGAGTTTAAACCACCGGGTCTGGGGCTTGAACCGCGGTCAACTACATGGGAGTTCAGTGACATAGCCATTACGCCAACTGCTAGTCCCTTTCGTTTCTTTCTTTTAAACAGAGAGGCATACTTCATTGATATTTAAGCTCCAGTGGCTATCTAGTTTATACTCAGGGATTGGCATGTGTGTGTGGAGGGGTGTTGATGGAGATCTGGAGTACACAGGGCTTTACTCTGGTCAGTCAGATCTTTTCTGTTGAAAACAATTTTGTTTTTTTCAGAGAGAGATTTTTGCTATAGGGCATGTGTGCTCGACAGAGAGAGAGAGAGAGACAGAAAGCAAGAAATCACCCCCTGGGGAGGTGACCATGCTGCAGTCTCTTCTTTATTATTCTCTTGGGATTTTGGGCATACACGCACACATGCCTGGTGTGAATTTAAGCAGCCAGGCCTGGGACTTGAACTGCAGTCCACTACGTGGGAGTCCAGCAACGTAACCATTACACCATCTGCTAGTCCAGAAAGCAATTATTTTTAAAAGGGCTTTATTATTACATGTATACATTCACCTTTTTTTTTTTTTTTTTTCCTCTAGGATTCGTGTGCCAAGGCAGAGAGAGACAGAGGGAGGGAAAGAAAAATCACCCCCAC